GAAGGAAAATACACAGATAGAAAATGGTACCTAAACACAGGAATGAAGAGTAGCAAAAATAGAAAAAGTAGATTTTTTTCCTTATTTTGAAACTCTTTGATGGATATTGACTGTTTATAGCAAGAAAAAAAATATTTGCAATGTATTGTGGAGTTTATAACATACGTAAATTAAAGATAAGACAACAATAGCACAAAGTACAAAAGGGGAAAAATCAAGAATATTGATGTAAGATTCTTACATTTTACTAGAAGAGGCATAATGTTATTTGAAGGTATACATTGATAAGTTAAAGATTTATTGTAAATTTTTAATCTACTGAAAAACATGTAAAACAAAGAAGTATAGCTTATAAGCCAACAGTTGAGTAAAACAAAAACATAAAAGCTCCTCAAATAACCCAAAAATATGGCAAGAGAAAAAATTAAAAACACAGATGGGTCAAATAGGAAACAAATAGAAAGTTAGTAGTCTACCCTAACCATATCAGTGATCACATTCTGTAACAAAAATCATAGCAATTCATTCATTTATTCATCCATTTATCCACTATTTATTGAGTACCTACTATCTGTTAATCACTACAATCTTATTGAGAATACAATGGTGTACAAAAGTGTCAGAGTCCCAGCTCTCAAGGAGCTTTGAGTGTAATAATGGACACAGATGAGTAGCTTGCAATTAAAATATATTGTGATATATTTTTTGATAACAGAGTGGGTCAGGCTGGGCCTCTACCTCACACCATATATAAAAATTAACTCAGAATGGATCAAAGACCTAATTGTAACACCTAAACCCAAAAAAACTCCTAGAAGAAAACAAAGGACTAAATCTTCATGACCTTAGATTTGGCAATGGATTTATAGATCTGACACCAAAAGCATGAGCAACAACAAAAAAAGGAGGTACATTGGACTTCATCAAAATTAGAACTTTTCATGTGTCAAAAGACACTATCAAGATTGCAAAAACACAATCTGCAGAATGAAAGTAAATATTTCCGAGTCATGTATCTGATGAGGAAATTGTATCTAGAATATTTAAAGAATATATACAACTCAATAATTAAAAGACAAACAATCCAATGAAAAACTAGACAAAGATCTTGAATAGACATTTTTCCAAAGAAGATACACAAATGTCCAATAAACACTGAACAAAGGCTCACCATCATTCATCCTTAGGGAAATGCAAATCAAAACCCTAACCTGACATCTACTAGGACGACATAATAATAATGATGATGATGATGATGGAAAATAAATAACAAGTGCTGTCAAGCATATGGAGAAATTGGACCCCTCATACATAGCTGGTGAAAATGTAAAATGATGCAGCTGCTGTGGAAATTGGTTTGGCTGTTCCTCAAAGAGCTAAAGGTAGAGTTACCACATGACCCAGCAATTCCATTCCTAGGTGTACACATGAGGAAAATGAAAACGTACATGCACACACAGACCTGTGCATGCATGTTTACAGTAACACATTCATAATACTCCCCAAAATGGAAGCAGGCAGATGTCCATCAAATGACCAATGGATAAACACAGTATGGTACCTTCAGACAATGGAATACTATTCAGCCATAAAAAGGAATGAAGAACTGACACATACAACGTGGATGAACCTTGAAGACATCAGCTGAGTGAAAGAAGCTGGTCACCAAAAATCACGTATTGTATGATTCCATTTATATAAAATGCCCAGACGTTAAATCCAGAGACACAAAGCATATTAGTAGTTGCCAGGTGATGGGGAAAGGGGGTAACAGGGAGTGACAGCTTAATGGGTATAGGGTCGCCTTTGGGGGTGATTCAAAGAGTTAGACTCTAAGAAGAAGTGGTGGTTGCATAGCATGGTGAATGTACTAACTGCCACTGAATTTTACACTTTAAAATGCTTATTTTATGTTATGTAAATTTCACCTCAATAGATAGTGAGGGAGACTTAGAGATACGGTAACTAAACGCCCTGTGTAGACAGTGTCTGGATCCTAATTCAAAATAACCAACTGTAAACAAAGTTTGGGAACCAGTTAGGGAAGCAATGACTTGATATTTGATGTTATTAAGGAATTATTTTTTACAGTGTGATATGCTACTGTGGGTATACATTCTTTTAAATTCTTATAGTTTAAATAAAACTCTGTGTAGGATTTGCTTCAAAACAACCCAAGGGGGAAACGGTTTGGGAGGTAGGGGGAAATGATGTTGGCCCCATGTTGATAATGACTGAAGTAGATTATATGTATGTGGGGTTCACTATGCCATCCTACCCATTTTGTATATCTTTGAATTCTTCCATAATAATAAGATGAAAAGCAAAAAACATCCTTGAGGGCAGGACTGTGCTTTATTCCCCAGTACTTAATGCATCCTTGACATGAAGTGGGATGAATGAATGAATGAATGAAACCATGCATCTCATCATAGCCCCTGTTGTACCCTCTCATTAATGAACATTAAGAGAAAGAAATGACGATCCTGAGAAGTCACGGAAAAGTGAGAGTGTGGGTGTTTATGTCCAGGCAGTGGATGTGCAGATTAAAACTATAGTCGTAAAAAGCAAAGCTGGGAGAAAGTGAAGTCTGGCTCGCACCCATTAACCATGAAATCTCTGTTTCTGCACTCAGACTGGAGGCCACCTTCGTGCCCTCTCCGCCACCAAGCCAGCTCAGGAAGGACAAGGCTTTTGAGTTACAAAAGTTTTGTAAACACTCTTTCTGTTGAGTACATATTAATTTTTCTGTTTATGCTGCATTAAAGTAGAAAGTTCTATTGATTTGTATCTACCATTTAAAAACCACTCCAGCCAAAATGAATAAGCCATCACGATATTTGAAAGAGTCATTAGCCAAGCTCCTAGGAGGCAAGATCAATGACCTGAGCTGCACTCCTGTGACGGACACAACTGCAGCAGGAGGTGTCCCAGAGGAGAGAATGACACCAGGAGAGGCTGGAGCAGTGCTCCAGTGAGGTCAGTGCTTCCCTGGTTTAAAGAACGTCCATCTGCATCATTAGGTTTCAGTTTTATGGCAACCTTGAGGGGTCAGGAGGGCAAAGGCTGCAAACACCCGAGACTCAGCCCAGGACCCCAGCCCCGGTCTCAGGGAGCCTCCCATGCTCACAGCTCTTTCTCCTCCACACATGGATTCCCACACAACCTGCACTGAGGGGTCAGTTGTTTTCCTCACTATGGGTGATGGGCCAAGGGAGCTTCAGAGCAGTCTGTGTCATCCCAGGAGGCCAGCCTGTCACAATCCTCCCGGCAGAGATGAGCTTCTGTGCAAAGGGTCCTACAGACTTTCTGAGTGTCCCCAGCTCCTCCAAGGTTCAGACGAAGATTTCAATTTCAGGTGATTGTGGGGCTGTGAGTGAGGCTGGAGTTTTGACCCCCAACCAGCTTGGTGAGCAGCCCACAGTTCACCTCCTCACAAGACACACACATGCACCCCTCAAGCTCCAAGAGCTGCACATGTGAGCAACAGGCTGTGGGGTGCCAGCTCACTCTGCCTCCACGACTTTGACCATACTCTTCTCTGGGCTGAAATCTTTTTCTTGGCTCTCTGCTGATCCATCTTCCAGTCTCAGCTCAGGAGCCACCTCCTCCAGGAAGCCTTCCAGGAACTCTCTAGAAATAAAGGCCTGCTGGATTCCTCCTATGGAGTCAATTGATGATTCCAGAGTTTTCCTTGTGGGCCACTCACGAGGCCATGATGGCTCTGGATGAGCAGAGTTCAGAGGCTGCTGCCGCCACCAGCATCCAGCTCACTCCCAGGCCTCACCCCGACGTGGACCGCACACCCTGTCCAGGTGCTGAGTTCAAATGACCTTTTCCTGCTGATGACTTTCCACACAGAAACAGGAAGCCTACTTTTCCTGGGGAAGATTGTCAACTTATTGGGGTCATGCCCCCTCGGGTGTACTGGATGACTCCGAAGAACAGAGCAGGGAGGCACCCTGGGTGGTTCTATACGGCCCAGGAGACATCCGCGGACATCCGGGATTCCATTGCTTCATCTAGAAGTGAAATGGGAAACATCGGGGTTGGCCAAAAGGTTCGTCCCCGTAAGATGTTATGGAAAAACTCGAATGAACTTTTTGGCCAACCCAATATTCTGAAGCAGTGATGCAGGCAGACACTCTTGTACAAGTTTCATGCCGCCATGAAAGTAACCACTGGCCCACGTGCCAGGAGCCTCTGTTGCAGAATCGGGTTTAATGAGATATTCCATATACCCTGGCTCCCTTGCCTGGTTTTCATGGGAACCTATGGGGTGAGGGTAATAAAGGAGGTCAAGGCTGTATCATCGAGAGCACACCTCCTATGTACCAGGGGCTTTATATATTTTATCTCATTTTAAAATTATTTCCCACAACATATAAACAACTGTTAAGCTGAACCGTATGAAATTGATTATATTTGACCTTTTTTTTACCTGCAGATAAGGCACTTTTGTATAGTTCCGCCTAGTACTATTTCTCCCTTCTCTTAGCTGAGGATCAGAGCTTGAAAGACACGCCCCAGCTCACTCAGCTAGAAAGTAGCCAAGCTGGGATTCAGGTGTGTTTTATTTCAAAGCTAGACTTTCCATTCTCATTCCTTTTCTAAATCGGTGATTTTCAAGCTTGTTTGTGTGCACACGTCCCCTGAGGATCTGTTAGAAAGCAGGTTTTGATTCAGTAAGTCTGGCGCAGGTCCTGAGGTCAGGTATTCCTCACAAGGTCCAAGGATGCTGAGGCCTCTGGTCGGGTGACTGCTCTCTAACAGGTGCTAAGTGCTCCTGTCCCTGTGACCCCAGGAGGGGTTATGTGGGTTTGGTCACCAGGGCACTGGAGCAGCATTGGCCCTTCAGCGCTTGTGTGGAGCTGAACATAATCGTGGCAATACCTTTTTGAAGCCTGCAGACAAAGCTTGCTGTAGGGTTACCTATTAATGAGTGCTTTGCAGGGAAATAAGTATTTTAAATAAAGCCTTTTTGCCCATTCTAGGCTTACCGTGGGTGCCTGTCACTGTCTGTGGGCTGTGTTCCACGTCAGTCACAGCAACTGGGACTTTGGCTATCAGCCGGCTCACATCCGTGTTCTCCAGCTGTGCAGAAGGGAACCACACAGGCTCTGGGGCCAGACACACCGGAGATCAGATCCCGCCCTGGCGCTCACCAGGTGCCCACCTGGAGCGGTAAGAGAACAACAGGCAACACAAAGAGCCGGGCTGAGTGTCAGTCAACAGGTTGTAACATATGATCTCATTTAACCCTCATTTAATATTTTACATTTACTCTCACAGATAAAACTTACTGATTTTTTTTCTCATCTCCAGTGAGAAGGTGCCCACCAAGCACCAGTAAGTCAATAAAGTTAGCCTCCCAGAAGGGGGAGCCCCAGAGTCACTGAAGGTATCCCCTGAAAAATAGAGGTAAAAAGTACTGGAAAATGGGTGTCTTGTCTTTTGTTTTTTTCAGGGTTGACAATGAGGACCCCAAACTCAAATGCTTACAGGGATAGGTGGACCTAGCGGGGGTTAGGGAAAAAATAACAGCACAAGTTCAGTGGTGGATGTCAGCTGAGCTGGTGTTGGGAAGGCATAGGGAGTGGTGGGGACTGGGGTAAACTGGGTATCATCTAAAGGGGGCATCCAATGTTGGCCTGCCCGTGACAGTGGCTTAGATGAGACAAAAATTTAAATTCCGACCTCACATAAAAGTGAGCTGGCATGGTAGCTCTGCTTTACCCAGGCTTATTGTAAACTGTGGGTCTGCCACGCCTAGGGTGTTTTCCTCACCTGCACACTTGAAGACCATGCACAGTGCTTCCACCTTCCAGCCCACAGGAAGGGAGCAAGGGAAAGGGTACACCCCATGAGTTACACACGTCTCTTCAGCTTATCTCCTGTTGGCCAGAACCTAGTCACGTGGTGCACCTAGCTGCAAGAGAGGCAGAGACGTATCATTTCTATCTTAGGTTACCATGGGTCCAGCCACAAACTGGAGGGTATTTTATTTTAGAAGGGGTGATTGGCTATTGGGGACCCCCTAATACACAGCCTCTGCGTAAGTTCTTGCCAGCCTCAGTTGGGTATCACCTTACAGAAAGGTATCCCAGGGTTGCTGGCTTTTCAATATTTGAAGAGAAACTAAAAAGCCAGGTTTTTAAGTGAAAATGTTCCCATTTTTGATGCTGACCACTAATTCAATTTAAAAACTTCTCCGTTGGCCAACAGCGTGTAGGGTAAATAAGCACACAGTGGGTCTGGAAGGCAGCTGTGCAGAGCAGAGAAGTCATCAGGGTCCCTAAGTCTGGCCCTATGAGATGCTGGCATCAGGACCTCTGTTAAAACCCGGTCCTGGGGTGTGACCTGCATTGAAATCCCCAGGCAGACATGAGACTGTCCCCCGAGAGTGAAGATGGCAGCTACGAAGCAGCTTAAATCACAAGACGACGTTTCAGAAATGTTTGCCCACGTTTTACAAAAGATGTACCACACTCATTTTTAGACTATTTCTGTTAATAAAGCCAGTTTATACGAAAATCATTGTTATAACAACATAATCCGTAATTTTGCTGAAATGGAGGCAAAAATAATAAATATTATGAAAAATATATGAAGATTTGTGAATTATGTATATCTTTATTTCTCATCGAAACATTATCAGCCCATCACCAGACACCCAAGACGCATGCAGTAAGTATTGGATTCAGTCATGACTGATACTTTGCTGATTTTCAGTCATGTAAAACTATAGCTGGAACCAGAATTTTCAATTCTACTGTTTTAAAGGTATCAATTTTCAAGGGATGGATGTTATTCAGAAGTTTGCTTCACCCTGATTAGTGGCTTTCAATCTTTGGATACGTGGGAAATGGCTTCCTTTTGTACTTTGTCCTTGGAGAGCCTGGCTTAGAGGTGGCTGGGGTCTCCTATCTGTCCCCTCTGGGCAAGGATACAGCCCTGGAGGTGTGACAGCAGGAGGGAGGGGTGGACAAAGCTGGGATTCCTCAGACCAGAAAGAGGCAGAGGCCTGGAGCCAGAGGGGTCGCAGAGCAGGGGTGGGTCTGCTCAGCTGAAGGGTTCACCCATCATTCATTCCACAAGCATCTACTGAGTGGTCACTGCACCCCAAGCATTGGGCATGACTCACGCTTACATGTTCGGGGTGCGTGAGGGAGCAGGGACCCATCCTACAGGTCACTCCATGGAGAAGACAGGGTCCTTGAGGCTGGAAGTGCTAGTTGGGAGGGGCCCCAGTATCAGCACTCCCTGCTTGGATGGCCATTGAGGATGCCCATCGAGGATGGCCGGAGTTCCTTGGGCAGAGATCCTGGGCATATGATGAGGAATGTTGTGGGATGGAGTTGCTCTTCTGTTTTAGGAGGAAGGAAATGACCAGTTCAAGTCAAACAAACATGGAGGGTTGGGAAGAATGACCAAAGCCTGGGGCTACCAACTTTGACCTCAACCCACTGGACGGCTCAGCCTTCCAGAGAAGTGACCAGGGAGAAATTCAGCCTTCACCCAAGAGCACTGCCTGAGTAACTCTGCCACGCAGACTCGGTTGGGCTACAACCCGTGTCAACAGTCCCTAAAGAGACAGGAGCACTGCAGACCCACAATGAAGGGCTATCTGGGTGTCCTCCCAATGACACATTCGAGCCTGGGTAGGGCGGCCAAGTGGTTAGGAGCTGGGTTCACATCCTGCCTGATTGATATTCATCTTTTGTGACAAATTATGTAACTTTTGTCCCTTGGCTTGCTTCTATGGGCTGGAAGTTCTCTCACCCGTGAATGGGGTCTTTTTTTTGTTTTTTTTTTTTGCAGTACGCGGGTCTCTCACCGTTGTGGCCTCTCCCGTTGTGGAGCACAGGCTCCGGATGCGCAGGCCCAGCGGCCATGGCTCACGGGCCCAGCCGCTCCGCGGCACGTGGGATCTTCCCAGACCGGGGCACGAACCCGTTTCCCCTGCATCAGCAGGTGGACTCCCAACCACTGCGCCAACAGGGAAGCCCTCGTTAATGGGCTTTTGCTAGTCCCTTCCCCACAGGGTTGTGAAGGTGAAATGACTTAATGTGTGGGACATGCTTAGAAGAGTCACCAGGCCAGGAAGGTGCCGTGGAAATGTCCGCTGTCATCATTCCTGAGTGAGCTGAATGGCGGCCCCCAGCAGGTGGCCCACATCCTAAGCTTCTGTGAGTATCACCTTACGTGGCAAGAGGGTCTTGGCAGGTGTCATCAAGTTAAGGATATGGAGAGGGTCATCCTGGATTAAATCCAGTGACAGGTGTCTTTATAAGGGACAAGAGAGGAAAAGACACAGGCGCAGAGCTTGATGGAGTGATGTAGCCATGAGGAAGGCTGACAGCCACGGGAGCTGGAAAAGCTAAGACCCTCCCTCCCCCCAGAGCTTTCTGAGGAGCACAGCCTGCCCACACCTTGATTTGGGACGTCCAGACTCTGGAACTTTGAGAGAATACACTTATTTTTAAAACAAAATTTATTGGGGTATAGCTGATTTACAATACTGTATTAGTTTCAGGTGTACAGCAAAGTGAATCCATTATACACATACAAATATCCAGTCTTTTGTAGATTCTTTTCCCATATAGGCCATTACAGAGTATTGAGTAGAGTTCCCTGTGCTACACAGTGAGTCCTTATTAGTTATCTATTTTATATGTAGTAGTGTGTAAATGTTAATCCCAATCTCCCAATTCATCCCTCCCCCTCCCTTATGCCCTGGTAACGATGAGTTTATTTTCTACATCTGTAACTCTATTTCTGTTTTGTGGACAAGTTCATTTGTACCCAATTTTTTAAGATTCCACATACAAGCCACATCATATGATTTCGCATCCTTTGTTTTAAACCCAGTTTGCAGTCATTGCTTTCGGCAGCCCTAGGAAACCAACATGATACACACCACAGTCAGCACGTTAGTGCCAATTCAGGGTCTTCAGTGGTATTGTAGTGGGAAAATGCTTGTTGAATGAATACCATGTGGGGCTGCACTTATGGCTGGTGTGGCTTTAATCCCCACCTCTGGGTCAACAATGCCATGTCCTTTGAGTTCCCTGGGTGAGTCAAATCTGTGCTGGGTCCCATCCTGGGGGTTGGCGGAGAGTCCTTTCTGGCCATTGGAGACTTCCCCAGGCCCTTCTCTGGCCAGGAGCTTCCTGGTCCAGCTCATGTGCTGCTCTACCCTCAGAGGCCTTGCTGAGTTTCTCCCTATCCAGGCCTGCAGGGGCCCTTAGAGCCAGCCAGTATTCAGGTGGCCAAGTTTCCGGCCAGTCTCACCTATCCCCAGGGACCCTTTATAAGGTTTGGTCATCCCCAGGCCTTTGCTCATGTACCCAGTCTCCTCTCTTCCGGGTTTAAGGGACTCTTTTCTGTTTGTCCCTCTGATCTGCCCGCCTCCCCATCGATACCCTGAGGGATAATCTGGTCCAAGTCCCAGAGGAGCTCGAGCATCCGCAATACCAAAGCCAAGGGGGCCCTCTGCTGTCTGGTTCTCAGTCCTATGACCCAGAAGTCCTGCAGCAATGAAGCTCAAACACGTGGCAGCCTTCTGGGTCAGGCAAGCACACCGGCGGCACAGGTAACATTGGAAAAGATCATCCTTCCACACGGGGGAGCTGGGCCCTGCCTTCCAGGAGCTCCCAGTGGACCAGGCAGAATGTCAGCCACGGCTACGAAGGAGGGTAAATTGAGGACAAGTTTAGCTTGACGAGGGAGGCAAGGCAGCCTTTCAGAAAGACCTTGGGTCCCAGGGGCTCCCAGGTGGCACCTTGATGTCAGCCATGGCTGCGTGATCATGAGCAAGTCCATCTGTAACACGGAGGCCATAACAACTCTTGACACGTCTCATTCAGCCCTCACTCCAACCTCATGACAGACAGTCTCCTTGCATTTGACAGTGGGGGAAACCCAGGGACAGAAAGTCTTAAATAACTCCCTCCTCTGGGCCCCCCAAACAGAAGTCATGTCACCCTGGATCCCTCAGAGCCCTCCACAGCTCTCCTGAGCCCTGACCCCTCCTCCTGTGTGGTTTGTGTCCACCTCTGATGCAGACAACAGACCACGCCATGTCTGGGCCACCTCTGGATCTTCCAGGGCTATGAGGCAGTGCCTGGGCCGGAGTGGGCCATCGGGGGACCCTAGCTGGCTGGAGCCTCAGCAGATCTGGGCTGTTCCCAAGTGAGGAGCAGAGGAGAGAGGGATGGAGACTGAAGTGAGAGGGAGAGGGGTGTTAACACAGAGCCATTCTCTGTCTTACACACACACACACACACACACACGCACACGGGGCAGGACGGGGTAAGAGGGAAAGCGGAACCCCAGGGACAGCAGCAGAGAAAGGCAGCAGGGAGACAGGACAGAAAATTTCACAGACTCCCAAAGCAGAGCAGAAGAAATTGTTTCCAGAGGCAGTTTGGGGCTGGCCCCCCTCGCCCCTGCAGCCCCGCCACTTAACAGGTCTAGAGGTCCCCTTGCAGCTGCCAGGACCAGGATAAGGTGGAGGGGTGCAGGGGTGGACGGGGCCTGCTGGAGAAAATCTCCCCAAACCAGGCTTGGCATCCGGGCCTCTGATTGCCCTGAGCCTGGGGGAGGGGTGACAGAGAAAAGTGGTCCAATATGGTTGGTCCCCACACACAGCCCAGATGCCCGTCTGCTCGTTAGGAGAGGTGGGCGCGTAACCTGAGAGGTCCGAAGGTGCGGCCCTTAAAACCAGGCCCTCGCTAAGCAGGGGGCTCTGTCTGCTGGATCTGGGGTTGGCAAAACGAAAACACAAAGCCTCAAGTGCTGCTC